CACAGAGGGGACACAGAAGGGACATGGAGGGGGACACAGAGGGGACAGGAGGTTCCATCTGTTTTCCCTCGATCTGAGTGAGTTGGGTGAGGAGACACTAAGCCTCCCTCATTGCCAGTTGGTGGGTATTTGGAGCCTAGTGTGGCTGGGTGACTTCTGGCACAGGGAGAGGAGGGGGCATCGAGGGGAACCATGAGGAAGGAGGGACTGAGGGAGGGTAGGAGGAAGAGAGTGAGCAAGGGAGGGAAGGAAGGACAGAGCAAGGGAGGGAGGGAGCAAGGGAGGGAGAGAGGGACAGAGTGGGGAGTGAGAGAGAGATGGAGTGAGAGCGGGAGTAAAGGATCGAGGTAGTGAGTGAGGGAGAGAGGATTGGAGGGAGTGAAAGAAGGAGAGAGGACTATTTAAATGGTGAAAAATTGCAGCATGCTGCTGTGCAGAGGACCTGGGTGTCCTTGTGCACGAATCACAAAAAGTTGATTTGCAGGTGCAGCAGGTAATTAAGAAGGCATATTGTTGTTCATTGCTAGAGGGATGGAGTTTAAAAACAGGAAGGTTATACTGCAGCTGTAAAGGGTGCCAGTGAGGCCACACCTAGAGTACTGTGGACAGTTTTGGTCTCCTTACTTGAAAAAGGATGTACTGGCACTGAAGGGGGTGCAGAGGAGGTTTACCAGGTTGATTCAGGAATTGAGAGGGTTGCCTTATGAGAAGAGACTGAGTAGACTGGGTCTGTACTCACTGGAATTTAGAAGTATGAGGGGGTATCTTATAGAAACATATCAAATTATGAAGGGAATAGATAAGATAGAAGCAGGGAGGTTGTTTCCACTGGCGGGTGAAACTAGAACTAGGGGCATAGCCTGAAAATAAGGGGGAGCAGATTTAGGACTGAGTTGAGGAGGAATTTCTTCACCCGAAGGTTTGTGAATCTGTGGAAATCCCTGCTCAGTGAAGCAGTTGAGGCTACCTTGTTGTATGTTTTTAAGGTTAAGATAGAAAGATTTTTGAACGGTTAAGGAATTAAGGGTTATGGTGAGGGGGCAGGTAAGTGGATCTGAATCCACGAAAAGATGAGCCATGACCATATTGGATGGTGGACCATACTCAGTGGGCCAGATGGCCCACTCCTGCTCCTGTTTCTTATGTTCTTATGAGAGGGAGTGAGGGAGAGAGGGAGAAAGCAAAGGAGGGAGTGAGGGAGAGAGGGAGGCCCTCAGAGAACTGTATGGCTCCCTAAATGACCCGGACCCCCTGCCCCGTGTAGCTCCTCACACCCACCCCATCACCCCCAGCCGAGGCCCAGCTTTTCCATTGGGTATCTCTGCTAGAGCTGCCTGACCTGCCGGTCTCTGATTGGTGAACAGCAGGTCAGGCCCCCTACCCCACTGCCCGATTGGAAAAATCTGACTGAGGGAGGTAACGCAACATTGTCCCCCTGCACCGCCCCATCCCAACCCACCGTACCCTCCACCCAATGCTGCCTGACCTACTGAGGATCTCCACCATCTTCAGCTTTTGTTTCAGAAATATTTGATTTGATCCCTGGGACACAATTAATATGAAGAAGAAAAAGCCATTTCATTGGCTTGTCAGAGTCTGTGGAAGGGTTTGAGTATTTGAAGCTAAAAATTTCAGGATCCTTGGCTCTGTAATGAACGATGTGTTCGGGGTTATGTGTATCAGGTCAGGACTGAGCCTCTCTCTTGGAATACACTGAGATTAACAGCTTGCTGAAGGAGGTTTTGATCTTTGAAGTTGACCTGACCTCCCTTTCATAATGACCCAGTTAAAAGTAAGTCAAAAACCACAAACCCTCTGGCAGAAGGAGCTTCAGATTAAACGGAGATACTGGAGATTGGCATCTATATTCCATCCAGACTCCAGTTCCAGGGCCTATCTGAGCTGGCAGAGGTCATGAGGAAAATGGGAAACAGGCTGGTGCTTGTGTTCTCCTGGCACTGTGCCCTGCTTGCTGCTCAGACTATCCCTCACATTATTGCTGTCAAATCCTAAACCTAGCCTCAATCAACCCTCACTGTCGATACCTGACAAAATAGACTCAGATCACAGGAAAGGCTTGGGAAGAAAAGGCTCAGGGATTTCAATAGAAAGTCTGTTGATGGAGGGAAGATGACTCGGGGACTCTCACGCTCCCTTCCCAGATTTCTCACACTGCCTGGTTGCTCTGTGTTGTGACATTTCTGATCAGAGGTGAGACCATCTCTGTAGCCCTCTGTCTCACTGATACACTACAGAGGCTCTAGCCGCTGCTGAAGTTCTGAAACCCAGAGTTTGAGCTTGTACAGCTGCTGAGTGAATGACATCTCCTGGGGGAGGTGTTTGTCTGAGGCACATGGACTGTTCATGACCTTACACATGCATATGATGTACCTTCCACTTGTCCCCACTGTCCTGCCATCCCATAACTCTGTAAACTCTTTGTTACCTGCAGAACAAATACAAATGCACTCTAAAAACTTATTAGCTACTTAACATTGCAACTTTATTTTCTTTTGGTTTTACTTCATGTCCCGGAGGTCTATAGCACCAGATTTGGCTATTCAGCCCACATTCACACCGGTCACACACAACTACCCAAACTATTCTAATCCCATTTACCAGCACTTGCCCATAGCCCTGTATACCTCAGCATCAAAACTTTCCATCTAAATCTCCTCTGCTTCAAGAAAAGCAACCCCAATCTGTCCAATTTCTCTCCATAACAGAACCTCTCCAGCTCAAGCAACATCCTGGTAAATACCCTCTATAGTTTCCTCCCCTCTGCTCCTGTTCCTTCCTGAAGACCAAGTAACTGCCCCTCCTTTACAATTATACATTGTTTATTTTTAAGCTATTTAAACACACTCCCTAACTGCAGGTGCTCACCAACCAATAACCTTACAGATTTCCTGCGACATCCATCGTGAATTTTTTTTTGCCCCCAGTCTCTAGCCCTATTGAATGAATCAGTCCCTGTTCACTACGCTCTTGTTATGGAACAGACCAATCCTACTCAAAATATATTCAGGAGATAGCCCAGACCGCAATGTTTTTCTTATTTTAAACGTAATTATAAGGCGTTGCGTTCCAGATGCAATTCGATTGGTCAATCTACTTGACTTTAAGCAAAACACACTTTAATTTTCCAGTACAGTTAAAATACAGACAAAATAAAAAGAAAAGAATTGGCTTAACTGTAACTGTATTGAAATGCTTAACAAAATAATAGATATATTAAGTATGACTAATTAATTGTTCCAATGTAGTAACCACCCATAAACACACCCTTGGCAAAGATAAATTCAGTAAAATAGATTGTCTCAGATGGAATTCTAGCAGCAAGAAGAGAACCCCAGCTTTTAGCTGTAGCAGAGAAAGGAATAAGAGCTTCCACATCCAGCTTCAAGACCACAGCAACTGCAGAAAACTAAACTAAATATCTTGGCTCTGTGGGAACTTGATGCCACCCACTCAGGCTGCTTCTATTCTTCCAACTTTAAACAAAACCCCAAAGCCTTACAGAGTGTTTTTTGGCTTACAGCAGACTGCTTGTCACATCTGCCTCAACCTTTCTTCACAAGAAAAACAGGACAAATACACCTCTTAAAGCCATAGTATCATAACATTGTGTTTTAACCTTGCTGCTCCGTCTCTCTCAATGCTGTGTTTAGAATGAAACACTCCCCACTCACCATGTTTTTGTTAAATTTGCTGCTCCTTTTCTCTTGCCTCTGTGGTTGGTGTGGGGCTTTCCCAGCTGACCATGCTCTGTTTTAAACCTGCTGCCTCCTCTCTCCTCTTCTTCAAATATTTTATAAATAACTATCAGCTTTGTTAACAAACAAAAATTACTGCTTTCAACTTGATTCTGTATTTGATTTTGCGATCAGTGAATCAGTCGGTAAACAAAGGAAGTGACACAATTATGTTCTGTTTAATGAACAGCAGCCGATTGTATTGAAATGTTGATATAAAC